AAGGATATTGAACACAAAAACGTATTACCATGTGGTAAACCGATATGTTCTATTGTTTCCTTATAATATGAGTCGTTTTGTATCCATATAAGGACATACCAACTGTGCCCAAATGACCTTTTTTTTGTAAACTGTGCATCTGTGTCTGAAACTTATTTCAATATAGGTATACAGCATTTTAATTCACTACGTTATCTTTTATGTAACAAATGTGAACTGTTTATAACTATATAAGTTATAAGGCAAATAACTATTATTTATAGTTATTCAATTTAATAGTTTGGTAGGCAAAAACACGTGTTTGGGCATTTTATCCAAAATCACATATCGAGTTTTTACGATAATATTTTAATATATATTATAGCGAGTATGTACATGAACCACCAATTTGAGAAATGACTTAAGTCAATAAAAGGTTATTCGGAGAAAATAATAAAAAACTTTTTTTAAAGAACCAGTTACCAATACAGTATGTAAATTAACTAGAATGTCAGTAGTTGTGATTCGAAAAATAATTCAGATATTGTAATGCAGTTTTTTCAATGTAAATATGACTAATGGCCTACCTTTAATATTGGTCAAAGTAAAAATAATAAAAAACCACTTACATTTTTTTGAACATTTGAAAACAGCTATTTCATAGAGTTATTTACTTGTAATATGAAGAAAAAATAATATTGAAATCCGTTTAATTTTGAAAGATCGAAAGAAACTTCTATTTAAAAAAATAAAATATAAAAATATAAAAAAATATTATAGTTAAATTGTATATATTTAGTAACTATAATGATCAGAACTCATAACTTCTAGCATTTACACATTTCTTTTTAGAGGATCTGGAGACGTATATTTGAGCTATTAATTTGTTTTAAAAACCTAAGATGTTAAATGTGAAATTCTATGTTGCATATTTTTGCATATTTAAAAGTTAAAATGATATTTTGCTTTTTTAAGTCTTTCTCAGTACCGTAGCCTTAAAACATTTTTTTCTTAATAACAACAAGTAATTATAGTAGTATTAATTATTTATATTTGTAATTACATTACTTTTTAAACTCAAAAAAAATGTAAATTTACCAAATAAATAAAAAATTAACTTAAAAAAATTTAGTTACAATTTTGATAAGGAATTAGTAATGTAATTTAATTACCAAAAAATAGTAATTTCACCAACACTGGAAATTACGTAATATAAAACTGCTCATTATTCATTTATAAACTTAACTTTTGTAAAAAAAATCAACCCAACACGTGAATATTCGATTTTGATAGGTAGGGTATGAAAATAAAATACAATACGATGTAATAATTCAAACACAATTTAAAACTACTTACAACTTAAAACTTATTTTATATTGGTAGGTACTATTAATTTTACTATATGCAATGCAATTTTAAAAATATAAAGATTAATTTAAAGATATTATCTTTTTTTACGATGAAACTATTCATACTATTTTACGTTATTTCCAGTAAAGTATAATGAACTCGAAAGTTAATTACACTAATTATATGGTATACATTTATTGTTTTAAAATCATTTATTAAATAAATCTACAATTTTAAAATACTTTCAATTTTAAATTTCGAAATGTTTTTTATAAAAATTTATGTTGTGCAAATCCAGTGCTTGGTAAATAATATTCTCGCTTTCAAACATTTTTTTTAAAACTATTATTGTGATAAATTAGTATAAAAAATTTAAAAAAAATTGTTAAGTAATATTACTATTGTAGTACTAAATTTCTCACTTCATTTAAAAACGTTTAAAATTGAAAAAGTCGATTTTCATTTTTATAAAAATGTAGATAACAAGATATATTTATTTTTTTTAGTTTGTTTGTTCACGTCAACGTGAAATGATAATTAATGCGTATAAATCCAAATTGGCAGTCGATCCAAATTTGACTGTTAGAAAGGCGCGCGAAATCCTCTCTAAGGAATTGGGAATTGGTCAAAAGACAATTTCAAACACAATTGCCCAATATCGCGAAAACAAAACAGTGTCTTCGCCAAACAAAATAAAAATTTTCAAAAACGTTGAAACAAAAGTTGACGATTTTGATAAATATGCTATCAGAAGGAAAATCCATCAGTTTTGGTTTAATCGTGAACTGCCGACGTTAGATAAAATTTTGACGGTAGTTAATGAAGATAAAAGTCTACCAAATTTCTCCCGCTCATCATTATATCGATTAATGAAATCAATGGAATTCGAATATGCTAAACGAGGTCGTAACAGCGCGTTACTTGAAAAAAACGAGATAATTCTTTGGCGAAGACAGTACATTAGAGATTTACGAAAATACAGAGAAGAAGGTCGTCAAATTTATTTTCTCGACGAAACTTGGGTAAATGCTGGAGATGTTACGAGCAGAATATGGAGTGACAATACTGTACAATCTAGCCAAGACGCTTTTTCCCAGGGACTATCAACAGGTGCAGTCAATCCCACAGGTAAAGGGAAGCGACTCATAGTAGTTCACATAGGGTCCGAAGACGGATTTGTTCCAGGTGGGCTTCTATGTTTCGAATCCAAAAAAAACACCCAAGACTATCACGACGAGATGAATGGGGATTCTTTTCGTGATTGGTTGGAAGGTGTTTTGCCGAGACTCAAGGAAAATTGTGTGATTGTGATGGACAACGCTCCTTATCACTCAGTGAAAAAAGAGAAATGTCCAACTACGCAATGGCGAAAGGCAGACATCATCAATTGGCTCACAAGTAAAGGGGAGGTAATCGATAACTCGATGATAATTCCGGAGTTATTAGAAGTGGTAAAACGATTGAAACCTTTGTATTCAACCTATGTAATTGACGAAATGGTTAAGGAGCAAAACAAAGTAGTCTTACGTTTACCTCCCTACCACTGTGAGCTAAATCCTATAGAATTAGCTTGGTCTGTCGTCAAAGATCACGTAAAAGCCAACAACAAAACTTTTAAGCTAGCCGACGTACATAATCTTCTAATCGAAGGTACTGTAAAAGTTACTGTTGAGATGTGGAAAAACTTTATCAGCCACACCACGAAAGCAGAAGACAAGTTTTGGGACATGGACAATTTGATTGATGAACTGATGGCAGAACAACAGAGAGTTGTACTAACTATCGGCAATTCTGATGACGAAGATGATTCTGATTTTTCTGATTTTTAATGTTTTTTTATTTTTGTGTAAATATTTAATTTTTATATTTTGTGACTGAAGTTTTTTTACTGTTGACAATTTTTATTTTTTAATTTATGTGTAAATATTTAATTTGTATATTTTATGTGACTGATTTTTTTTTTACTATTGACAATATTTTTATTTTTTATACATTATATAGTTACTCATTTGTACATTATTATTTCAATATTTGTGTATTTTATATTTATCATACAGATATACCTAATTTAATCTATAATAAATTCCGTATTTTTTATTATGGACTTATTAATAAGTATTATGTTTGCTAATAAAATTAATTTTTTTTAAGTACAGCTATTTATATAGGACTAAGCATAATTCAGACATAATTATTTGGGAAACCGATTATTATTACGCAGTAACTTGTATTTGTTTAATTTTGTTGTACGGCATTGATTTCATTCTTTGTAATTCGGTGTATACACATCGACAATAGTCGGTAAAGTTCGGAAATGATCATCGGCGTATGGTAGTGGGGGAAATTGTGGTAAAGCGTTGCTACGCTCGTCATTCGAGCTGCGCAAAACCGGTGTCTTCTCTTTTGGAACGGAGTTTTTTTTTTTTTTTAGGGAAGTGGGATCATTTAATAAATTTTTAAGAATTTCTCATGTCTATTAATAGATTAAAAAGGATCAAAATATTTTAAAAATTATACCATACATAGAAAATAATTATATGAATATATTCATTCACTGATTCTACTGTTATTCATTTTTAAATTACAATAAAGAAATCAATATTGTCAAAAACTGTTTTAACATAAAAATTCTCGTTTTAACTCCCTTCAGTAGTTATAAACTTCATCAAATTTTACTATACAAAATGAAAATTAAGCTTTTTTATTTTTCCAAAAGATGATGACACTAAAAATAAAAACAAACATCCCTTTTAAAATCTATTCATACATTACTCTACGTTAGAATACAATAAAATACAAATGCTCTAAATAATTGTAATTCGTAATAATAATATCGTAAATTTTCTATTTTAAAATGTTGTACCTACAATCTGCATTAGTCATTTTTATAAAATATAAATTAGAATATTCAATTCAACCCAAATATCCAAATATACATAGAATATAAATTATATAGATATAGGTAACATTTCAATTAAAATATACACTTATTGTTATTTCCAACCGTATGATAATGTTTCCTTAATTTTTAAACCTATAATAACAATTTGTATATAATAAATATGAAACAGGTTCATTTTAAATTTCACAATATTTTACATATATGTAAAAATATTCATAATACATTGGAGCAATTTATTCTTAAAATATAAATATTTAAAGTTAAAATTGTAATAAATTCGTTAAAATCACGAACATTTTATTAATTGTTTTGCAGTTAAACATTTATAAAATGTACAATTTTTATAGTTGAGGCTTAAATATATAATACAAAATTCCTCAAAAAGAATTCATAATGAAACCATAAAAATTTAAAGCACAATTTTTTTTATAGTCATTTTAAGTTCAAATTTGGACGTATAATCACTATAATCAAACATACGGTATGTTTCATACGTAAATAATATAATCATAAGATTTTATGTAGATTTACAACCATATTTGAAATTTTAATTTTAATACAACTATTAAAGTAAAAAGTCGTTAAAAATTATCTTTCCTGACTACTGTCGTTTCACATGTGAGCAAAAAACTTATTAAAACGTATTTAAATCATACCCGACTTCAGCGGCTATACCAATATTATAATTATTTAAGTATACGTCATACAATAGTAAGCTAATCTGTATATCTTAAACAGTGATAATATCACAGAATTCTGTGATAGTATTTTTATATTATCTTTAATCGTTTTTACTATCTACAGCCGTAATAAATAATAATAGCTTGGAAATTGGAACACTTAGATCGATCGTCGTGTTGTTTCTGTACAGTCGTCAGTCAGTACTCAATAGTGAAATTTACTAATTACTATATTAAGACCTAAAGTCTGAGGTAATAAATCTATTAACAGTATGAACTCCAAACATACTTATTCTAATTTATAGTCTTGACTTTAATTATAAATCATACTTTAAATAGGTATATAAGAGAAAATAAACTATAATTATCTTATTTTTTATACCTCAATTATTTTATCTTTAAAATTTAAAATCGGTAATAATAATGTTATAGATTAATAGCTCCTAGTTTTGAGAATCACTAAAAAAAGTAAGTACAAAATATGACAATCAAAATAAAATTGTATAATTTCAAGTTTGACCTGTTATATATATTAGATCTATAACTATAAACATAAAAATGAAAATTACCAATTTTTATTTAAAACCTATTTTATTTATAATGTATTTTAATTCAGTGTTATTATTTTTTTTTTTTATTAAATCTATATAATTTATAGTTCATAAAGTATTAACTATTTTTAAATAAATTATTATTTAGGTGACTATGCTGATGTAAACTTATTAAATCAATACAATATTAGTAGTAATTCATAATGACGTCAGCTTCAAGTACAAGTGCTAGATCCCTTTTTGGTGATTCAAAAAATTTGTTAAGTGAACGAGTAAAGTTGAACATCAATAATATGTCATCAGTTATCAAGCAAATTCACCGAAGTTCAAAGAGTCATGACATGTTAAATCAAACAGTCAAAAGTCTATTATTATTAGAATCTAATATTGATCGTACTGAACATAATTTAAATCAATTAAAAAATGTTTCAACTAATTTCAACCAACAATATGGGGAATTTAAAAGATCTGTACATCGTATTGAAGAAGTAAAGGAACATGTACAAACCATGCAAAGATAAATTTATAAATTTAATTAATTCAAAATTAGATGTATATTCAAATTTGTTAATTTATTTTGTATAATGTAATAAGTACTTACGTTAAACAATATAATTTCTTATATTTTTATGAAATATTTGTTGTATCATTAACTTTATATTTCATTCTTTGAAATTATAATTAATATCAAAAAATTATGTTAACAGCATGTTATGTAATATAATTTATAAAAATACATTTAGGTATTGTATTTATGTATAAAGTACTTATTTTATACTTTTTTCAGTGATCTAATAGTTAATTATATCAATGTTTAAATCTAGAGTATCAAAAAAGGTATATATTATTCTACCATAGCCATACTCAACCTTTTTTTTTTTTTGGACCACATAAAATATTTATTATTTGAGCCACAAGTCAAAATGACCAAAAAGATTTAAAAAAAATTAAATATTTATTTTAAATTAGTGTGAATTTTGATATTGAGATAATTTTTTCACTATTTTGGATATATTTGGTTTATAGTTGCTGCATTCTACTCTTAATAAGTCATCATTTATCGAGATTTGAATCAGTAAGCCAATTTTTTTAGGTATACATTCTTTGCAAATTTCAAAATTGTTATAAATAGTAAAAATACCATAGACCTTATAAAAGTATAAGGTGTATGAAAAATACAAAAAATATAATCATCCTTATCGACCTTATTACAATCGCATTCGACACACTTTGATTGTTTTGCTATGCATATTTTATAATTATAATATTAAATTTGAAATTTAAAATTTTATCAATTTAATGAGTTCTGTTTGGGTTACATAAAAATCATTGGAGGACCACAAGTTGCATATCGCTGTTCCAGCACAACCAAGTTGGAGTTTCACTGTTATAAAATTCTTAGATGATACACAGCCACTACATTAGCCTCTTCCCATATGCACCAACTAATTATACATAAGTTACAAAATACCTACCTAATAAATAAATGCAAATTACTATTAAATATAAATTATAATATACTATACTTCTTAAATAAAAAAATATTTATTTATTTTTTATATAAAAAAAATATGTTAAATAGGTAATAGAATAATATATATTTACATATATATATATATAGAGTCAATTAGATTTAATAAGATATGCAAAAAAAAAAAAACAATAATTACCTGTACTGATAAAATGAAGATTTAATAATTATAGATACCACTAATAATTTATTCAAAACAGGCATTATATAAATATTTTATATTTAACATATTATGATGGGTTTGGATGGATACATTCATAATATTTTACTCAAACAAAATTTTGAAGCTGTAGGATGAGAAAAAAAATGAGTTAAAGTATTTTTAATAATTTCTCAAGAACTAACTGAAAATTAGGTTAAAAATGTAATTTTTTTTTTTCCTTTTTGTGTCTATTTTAATAATTGAAAAATAAGTAAATGGTGCTTGGCTTTTAAGAATTAGAAAAACTATGGTGTTCAATTTTGAAAACTTTAAATATTAAGTGAAATTGAAAAAAAAAACAAGGAAATTATTTTCTTTTAATTAATAATAAAAAGAATTTACAAATTTGTAATATTTAGAACTATAGGTTAAAAGAAAAAATAAATAAATAGAACATGATTTTTAGTGATCTTATTAGAAAATGGTAAGAAAATTTACTCGGAAGTTAGCATAGAATGTACCATTGGTAACCTATCTAATAGAGCTTTTTACCATCTTAATATTTTATGTTTATACATTTTTAAATTTCTTTTATTTGTTCAATAATTTCTAACGATTAATAATTTATTGTTACAATTTTCTAAATAAATAGTCATTTTTATGATTTATATAATATATCAATATATTGTATTATTGTGTAAATCATAATATTATATTAATTTAATAAGAATATGAATTTAATAAACGCGCCAAAAGATATGATCTACAATAATTCCCTTAATATGGTCATACTGAAAATACACTGTGTACTTTTTATCCCTCGCATTTCTATCGGTTCGGTTGGCTGCCAGTTAATGTAACCCTCGTTCATATTTGTTGATTGACTATACACTATACTCTATAGTCTATAGTGTTTAGTATTAACGTCAAACACTGTGCTTCGTTCATTTTCGGCTTCCTCGACTTGCTGTAGTCACGTTGTTTAGCGGCCATTGAAATTCTATTATTTTTACGCGTGTAATTTAAATAATCCTTAGTATTTTAATAATTCGTATTTTTCTATTTTTATTATTAAGCTGTCATAATATACCACCGATAAAATGTGGAGTAAGTATATTATACTTATGATGATTTTTATAAACACGTGTATATCTGTTGAACATTTATGTTGAATAATATCGTAATTAACTATTAATATATATATATTTGTTGAGGTATGACAAGATTAACATTTAAGATGCATAACTGGTCATGTTTTTGTTAAATAAAAAAAAATGAATCTATTATACACACTTATTGACAAACGATATTTACGTTTATAGGCATAGTAATGGAACCAGGGAAAAAATACAGCACTGTTGTCGAAAACACTTTCCATCTATCAATGGCTACGCTAGATTTAGAAACCGTTAAAAAGGGTATGTATTAAGTGTATTAATTTATGGCGCTAGTAAATATTTCTTAATTTATAATTCCTGGTTGTAGTATACTTACCTTGCAATTAAAGCATGGTTAGCCAATGCTGCTATAGGAAGTTTATATAAACCCTTCATTTGATTAAATGTAAATTAATTCTAACTGATAAAGAATATTTATTTTGTAACAATTAACTGTCTACCCAACTTTTAAAATGCACAGGAAAAAAAATTAAATACCTGTTTGTTTACCAATACGTAAAAGATCCCTTTTTGAATTTTTGAATTATCCATTTTATTAAGTTATCAGTCCATTCTGTACAACCATCATAACAGTTTAAACTTATTTAATTAGGTTGACCAACAAATAATCTAATATTTCATTAAAAAAAACCAAAAGATTTTCACATTTATGATGACATGTTATTAAGTTTAAACAAAAAATGTATATAATTTTTTGGAAGATAGTTTATCTACATCTATTTTCACATTATTAAAGTAATTTATTAATATTGGTATTGTTTTATTTAGCTGATGACGTACATACTGTTTATGTTGAGACTGATGATAATCCACGGGTAATTCTTTGTCATCTGTCTAAAGCATCTAAGTTGTTCCAATGCCGATTGGATCATATTTTCCCACGAGGAACAGATTTGAAGTTTGTAACATCAGCCACTGCTAACATACATATGACTGGTATTTATTTAATTAAAATTTTGTCTAAATGACAAATTAATATTCTTTTTTTAAATTTTCCTAGGATATTTAGATTTAAATGAAGACGATGAATTGTATTCAGATTTAGAAAGTGATTCTGAAGATGAAGGAACACAAATTGAAGAGAAACCAACACAAGGAAAAGGTACTTTAAAAAAAATATAAAACATTAATATTCTTTTTTAAGTTCATTCTATGTATAAACTGCAAAAAATCCTTTTTTTATTTATTTAGAAGTTCTTAGGAAATGGTCACTTTTAACATTTTTGCAATTTTGACTTTTAACATTTGTTTAAGTATGCTTAAATTTAAATTCTGATTAAATGTTTAGGTTTGTTGTGATTGATATTGTAATTAAGAGAACATCGTGTCCATATGTGATATCTCCGTCTCACTAATTTACATTTTATCAATTTGTGTTTAACAGAACCTATTTATTCGTTTACTTATACATTGAAGTCAATTTGACTATTATAAAACTTATAAGTGACTAGCTGATTTTGTGCACTTTGTTGTCTGTTAAAAATACTAATTATAGTATAATACGATTCAAACTTTTGTTTAACTTGTTATTGTTAATATTCGGTGTAATATGATGTTCAAAACTTTAAAACATTTTTATTAACTGTCTTGAATCCCAAAAAATGTATGCAAGCATGCCACATGAGAATGTAAATTTGTTTAATGCTTCTTATTACATTCTACTATGAACATTACAAGCCTTGAGCTATGATTATTCAGACTCAATGTTAGTCAGGACACATTCAATTAAAAATTATAATTTATGTCATCCTGCTTGGCGTTGCCTGTGAGACTTGTGATTATGAGAGCCGTATATTATCAGGTAGGCAATCCACCTGTGGTGGAATGCGTATCTTACAAGGTGTGTGTGTAAGTTTATAATTTTTCTAAGTTATATCAAGTTTGTTAATTAGTACAAAATGATTACCTGGGGAAAAAAACAATTAATACATAATACGGTGTTTTGTTAGTGAATCTCAGTTTTTGTAAAATTTTCTAAAATTCCATTGCAATCAGACATCATACGTCTCAAGCTGGTTATGTCATAGTAGCTGGTCAGGAGTTGGGGACGTCTGTCATTGGGGAACACTATCACTGGTATTAACCTAACAATCCGGCATCTGTTAATCTCGAGCATGTTGTTTATTATTACACCTCAATTTATAATCATTTGTTAATGTACTCTTAGAATTAAAATTTGCTCCACGGCATACTCTTTCATTTAAAAAAAAAATCAAGATAATCAGAGATGAGTGGTTTCTTAGAACATGATGTGACAAAGATATATATATAAAGGTAAAGAAATATCTGGGGCCTCACAAAGATTGTTATTGATATTTTTGTATTAGTGATTTATAGCTATGTAAAATGCTTATAACTGATATAAAATATAAGTATCGTTAAAACCCTTTGTGATACCTCAGATGAAATTCTTAACCTAAAGAGTTCTATATTATTTAAATTAATTAATAATAATGTTAAAAGCATAATATAATGTTATTCTGCTAAACAAAAATTTTCTGTTGTATATGAGTGAGGTGAAGATAACATATGGGTATAATGTCCTCTTAGATTAAGGTTTTATCACTATTTTGTTATTTTGAAAAATAAGTAATCCTATTATTTTAAAGGTCGCTTTTTATGATAACACTTAGTTTCAATCCCATTTTTTTTAGCTTTAACAACTTTCAGTCATATAACATATTATGATTTAAGTGCCTCTTAAATACTGGTATTTAATTCTCTTATTTTTGTTAAATAAATTTAATTATCTTAAATTATGTTTTATGGCTTATTATTATTTATTTATTAATTACTAAAAACTTTCAAATATAATGTAAAACTAGTTTTGACAGTAATCAGTATGCTTTTAGGTAAAACATATTTAAAATAGCATACTTAACCATTATGTTATATATTATGTAGAAACATAATGTGAACCATCTTATTATATGCATTATCAATCCTAATTTACCATTATGTATATATAACATTAATTTCCTTCTTATTTAATAAATGATTAATTGTTACTACTATACTCCATTCACCAAGAAAACACAATTAGGTGGCAGCCAAAACTTATAATTTTTCCATCACCCACTACCAGTCGTGTGGCAAAGACTGTGTGGTGGGGAAAATTCTATTATTTGATTGTGCGACTGAGTTGTGTTCTTTGTGAATGTGGTATGATTTATACAGTTAAAAAAAATTTTATTTCATAATTTACAGGAAATAAACGTAAATCAGAAGATAATACTTCAAAAAAGAATAAATCTATTAAATTGGATAAAAGTAATCAATTTGATAAAGATAGTGATGATGAAAATGAAACTGATGATGAAACTATGGATTTCGAAGATGATAGTGATGATGATGATAATGAAGGATTAACATGTAAGTTTTTATTAAGTTATCTGCCTTTATTTTGTCATGAAAAGTTGAAAAAGTTACAACTTTTTTTTTTCAGTTATTTAAGTTTTTGTTTGTTTTTTTTTTTTTTTTACATATCTTAAGAAACTTTGTATTATTTGCAAATTTTATTTCATAATTTTCTGTATTTACTACCTAAATTCTTAAAATATTAATATTTTTGTTATTGCTGCTTTATTAATCCTTTCTTCTATAGTATTTTCTCAATTTTATTATTGTTATTATGATATTTTGGTAGTTTATCAAATTAACCATAGGTATTAGGTATATAATTTTTTTTATAATAAATTATTTTGACAATATGATTTTTAAACTGTTAATGCTTAGTGAGTGATTTAGCCGATGATGATGATGATGATGATGATGAAGAAGATGATGACGAAGATGATGACGTTGACGATGATGATGACGAAGATGAAGAAGATGACGAAGATGAAACTGAAGATATACCGGTATTAACTAAAAAAACAAAAGAACAGCAAAAAACTCCAAAAAAACAATTGAATGGAAATGACATAAAGACTCCTAAAAAAGAACAGATGACACCAAAAGGTCAAAAAACTCCATTGCCCAAAACACCCAAGACACCCAAGACACCTGATGCTAATCAAACTTTAGTAAATGTAAAATAATATCAATTGTTTTGTTTAATTTATCTTATAGAAGTTAATTTTTTTTTATTTATATTTTAGGGTTCAACAGAAAGTAGTAAAAAAAATAAAAATAAAGACCCTAAAGCCCCACTTAGTGGATTAAAAACTAAACCAGATACTCCGCTTCCTAAAGATAAGCAAAATCAGCAACAAAAGTTAAATGGTGGAGTTATTATTAATGATATTAAAGTTGGTGATGGAGCTGTAGCAAAACCAGGAAAAAATGTAATATTAAATATTAAGTTTAGGTATTTGGATATACTTACACATTTTTTAATGAATAATAGGTTAAAGTGTATTATATTGGTCGCTTGAAATCTACTGGTAAAGTTTTTGATTCAATGCAGAAAGGGCCTGGATTCACATTTGGATTACAACGTGGTGAAGTCATTAAGGGTTGGGATATTGGTATTGCTGGTATGAAAGTTGGAGGCAAAAGGAAAGTTATATGTCCTCCAAATATGGCGTAAGTAATTTTTTCTGATGTTTACTTTATATTATAATAATATTGATTTACTATAACTTAAAAATTAGGAAAAATAATGCATTTAACTTGAAATTATAGTTATCCGAAATATTTAAAAATAATTATACTTTGGCCCGAGAAAGAAGTAAACCGTCTCCTAACCAATATCCATCCCTAGCCTATTTAATATATTAGTAATGTAGCATGCCACCGACTATCACATAGTATGGAAAACGTTGCCATGGTTTACTTCTCTGGGCCAGAGTACATAATTTTGAAAATAATTATAATTTTATATAGATAAATTGGTATAACACCAATTCTTTAATAATTTTAATGCAATATTCTTCTTTTAATATCCAATTTTGATAATTTAATAGGTTTAATATGGAATTTATTATATATTCAGAATAATTTATTTAAAAAATATATAATCAATTACTCATATTATTACATTTTTTTATTTTCAGATATGGTGCTAAAGGGAGTCCACCTGAAATTCCACCGAATAGTACTTTAGTTTTTGATGTTGAACTAAAACATGTTAATTAAGTTTTTCCATTATATCTTTTATTCCGACTGATATTCCTATGATTATTTGTTAATTACCACTCATTTTTCTACAATAACCACAAATAACGAATATCAGTATTCCGTTTTTGTTACAAATAAAAATTAAAAACTATTTTTAATATAATTTAGTTTTTGAATTTGAGATAATTTTATCTTAAGTATACAGTTGTACATCATAATATTTTAATTGTTAACGTTTTTTGGCATTTGTAGAAAGTATTTGTGTCCAATCTACCTAGCAATGACTTACCAATTGTGTATGAATGACTTATAATAAAATAATTCTTAATTTTAGAATTATTGGACTTATTTTTATTTAAATGCATAATGAACTTAACTTTTACTTTTTCGGAGTAATTATCATTTGGTTAATAAATATTTTAAATGATTCAATTTTTGTGAATACTTGTTTGAAATCAACTTATGTGAATTTAGTTCTACTAAATGTCTATAGTTTATTGATAGTAAATTGATGTTTAAATCTATCATACGAATATTATGCTAAGGACTTTTATTTTTATCATGGAAACATAATAAATTATAATTTCTATACGTATTATACCATTTATATTGCATAGAAATCTAATATCAATAATATTTCCTAATTCTAAGGTTTAAATCTGATCATCTTAATAATTATTTTTTCCTACCTTACATTTTGAAATAATATTTTAGATGGCTAAACTTATTGACGTATTTTTTTATTTTTATAGTCCCATCACTGGTTAATATATTTTAATAATAATTTTGTTTTCACATGTATGATACTAGCTTTTGGCTTATAATTTATTAACTAAACAAATATTAATTTTATTGTTCCTTTAAATTATTTATATATTTTAGATTAAAGTTCTAAAATGTTTGACCTTAGTAATAATTTTAAAAAAATAGTGTACTTGTAATTTCAAAATATATAGCGGTTTAAATTTTTGATTCTAAAAAAAAATTGAAAAAGTATTAATGAACATTTGATTAAAAATTTTACGTGATCAACTTTAAAAGATCAAAAGGTATTGATAACTGTTTCAATATTAAAAAATTGTTTACTAAATAATTAAAAGTTGATGATAAAATGAACAATTATTTTGAAGAGATGCGTTTTATTATAATTTGTAATAAAATTTATTGAGATTGTTAAAAAATGTTATAAATTTTTCTGGAATTTTCCAAAAAATAGAGTATCTATTGGAATACATCAGTATTAGTAGATGTAGGTAATATCTTCAGCACATTATTTTTCAATTAATCTCTAAAAATTCTTTATTTAACATGATTCTATCAAATTCTGCATTTATGTTTATTCAAAATCATAATATCCAGCGCGAAGCTAAGTAAAAAAAAAAAAATAGCATAGTAGACACGAACGTATAATTACAGGATCCTGAGTTTTACCATTGAAAACCCGTCTTAATTTATGTTAATCTTTTGTCCAGCCCTTTAGGTCGAACGGCTGAACATATAATGTTGTATGATGTATCAATCGATCAGAATTATTGTGCAGATGGGAACAGGGGAACTCGCATACAGATTGGTTAAATGGTTTACAAGTTACAAGATAACAATTGATAAAAACAAACCATTACCATTTTGTATTTTCGACTCGTGTAGTAAACTAGTAAGAGAGATTTGGCGTTGGCTGTTTCGACATATTTTTAATTATTTCTTTCTTACTATTATAATAATAATTATTATTATTTCTATACGTGGATAACGTGTTTCCGGAAGAATTTGAGGTTAGCCGTTTTGGCAACATAACGATTTTCTGCTTTGTATATTCTTATTTTCCATTTAGATACATAATTATTATATTTTATTTATTTTCTTTATAATACCTAATGGCTTTAACTTATAAAAAAGATAATAAAAAAAAAAAAGAGGAAAATAAGTATGAAATTTTTAAGGAACGTACGTACATTGTTGAAAAAAATAAATGATTAAAAATATTGATAATAATAAGCCTAGGTTACATAAAGACCTACAAAAAATTAAAAGAACAAAAACAAAAATATTTCCGTTTTACGGTAATACAGAAAAATGAATAAATAAACTTATGAGCAAATTAAAAACGCCTTTGTCTGAGTCTTGAATAACTGCCAATAAAATATTTAAATGAATATTAAAACATGGATAATAAAATGTTTTTATTTATAAAAAAACGTTTAAAAAACTTATTCGTGTAATAAATAAAAAAATCAATCATACAGCTGTTATACCAAATTATGACCAATTAGATAACTTTTATTAGATTTATTTTTGGTAAATCCATGTATACTAAACATACAGAACCGTATTTTTTCGACACAGCTTATAAGCCATTACCTGCCAAATGTAATATAAAACTAAGAGTTAAATAAAAGTGGAAAAATTATGAATCTATTCCAACCAATTACTGTAGATTTTCCTGATACAGCATGGGATTGCAATGACATTTTATGAAATTTAAATTGCAGTTATACTGTTCCTAGGGTATTAAAAATTATGAAATCTATTAAATTCAGATCTAAATGAGTTTCCAAATAAAATAAAAAATATTGATTTATGCACCAGTCAAGTTCGAAATCCGTTTAAATTGGGTCATATTTTGTCATGTTATACCGGTAACTGTTCTTCAATTTTGTTGTTTCTCGATATCCTAGCACCTCATTTTTCAAACATTCGAGAAATTATTTCATGTTTGTATAAAATGCGCAATACACAAAAAAAAGTCGAAATTGATAGTGCTATTTATAATTCAAATATACATATTTTAACTGAAATAGAAAACCAATCAAAAACGTTCAGGAATTTCTTTGATTTTGATAATTTTAACTTTAAAAACGAAGATGAAATTGTTTCTTTTTATTCTCATTCATTCAGTTCGTTCTACAAACGAGTGTAGCCAATGTAGGATACGCCTATAAATATTTGTATGTTATGCCATAAAATGTGTAACTGATATAAATAAAATTCAAAAACATCCTACATAATAACGAGCATTGGGATAATCTGATTGAATTTATACAAGAACACAATTTACCCTATGACCAATACATATATTTGTAATTACTGTTTGAAAATATTTCGGTTAAACTGTTTCCATCCCCATGTATCCTTAATGATCAATTTTTTCAGGAGGTATCACAGGTGATATCAGTTATAAATGATTTTGAAAGAATATTGATATGAGCCAAAATATTTCAGGTCGTTGTCAAAATGAGTCTGTAGCTCGTCCGAAACAACCGAAGAATGTTTATTGACAAAGTAATAGGCAGAGTTTTTCATTTGCCTTTGCCTATTGAAGAAACGTTAAAAAAATTATCTAAACGTCCTAAACCCAATCTATAGGTGAACATAAATTATACCTACATTCTTGTACGTAGCCTTTCAACAAAAAAAAAAAATTATGGGAAGACATGGTCAATGTACAACTTGTTTCTAATGCTTTGTTATGGCTTAAACAAAATAATTCATTTTACATAGATATTATAATTTCGAGTTTGAATGACTTTCAAAATGAAATATTAAATACGAAAATTGCTTATCTAGTATTCAAAATGGAGAGTAACGGTGAAAACGTTGAAGTAAACAAAATAGTACGCCAAGACAAAGAAATCGAAGATGTTGAAATTGTCCAAGCTATGCTAACTCAGAAAGAATCAATAGATAAGTATTATGATTTATGAACAATATATACATTAAAGAACCCCATAAAAATGATAAAGCTACTGATTTATATCAAATGCTAAAAATAGATGCGAATCCAATTGATCAACGTGATTTGCAGTTAGACTTGAAGCGTTTTTCTGTTTTGTTTCCATATGGAAAAAATGGCCAATATACCAAAAAATCAATTAAACTAATACCTAACGAATATATAAAATCACGACTATTGTCTATAAATCCAATATTTCGAACAGATAAACCAAAATGTATTTTACTTATTGCACGACATAAACATTAGGGCTTTGAAGGCTGGCATTTATCAAAAACTAAATACTTCCAAATCTAAAGAAAATTTAAAGTCTTTTGAATGTTTAAAATTACTTAATAATAAAGAATTAGAAGGAAATTTAACCACTATATTCACTAGATTAAGAAACACCAGCCAATATTGGCTAGGTCCAAGGTCAGACATTAAAACTATGTTCACATGGTACGGACCAGTTATACGTTCTTTCTTACATTAAGTCTTGCAGAATATAATTGGTAGAGACTGGATTCATATTTAAGACAAGTAAATAATACAACAGAAGTAGGAAGTAGGGTAATAGCACTTATTGTATTTGATACTATTTCAACATCATAATTCATAGACTACGAGTTTAAAGGTATGCTAGATTTTTTCACATCCAAATATGGACCATTAGGTGTTATCACACATTATGTGTGGTGACAAGAGTATCAAAATCGAGGATTACAGCATTTTCATGATCTTATTTGGATAGAAGGAGCTTCTATTTTGGGCGTTGCGACCAATGAAGAAATTACCAATTTTATTGCCAGTAAAATAACTTGTAGAAAACCTGATAAAAATACGTTTCCCCAATTATCCGAGCATGTAGATTTATATCAGACTCACAGGCATGCGAAATAAAAATACTAAAAAAGATGTTGTAAATTTGGATTCCCAAGAACTATCACAGATCAATTTACGATTCAAGATGTTGCAACGTCCATTGCAGGCCGAAGAAACCTTAAAATTAAAATCCGGCTTTATGATATACCACGCAATGAAAACGAAACCTATATAAATGACTATAATCCTGCTATTCTGTTAGGAAATTTGGACATTCAATTCATTGGGGAAAAATCATGCGCTCTCAGTTCATACATTAAAAATATCAGACAAAACCCGAGAAATCTTATGCCGCACAATCGTTTGAAGTAATAAACAACACTAAATCATTAAGTTCAAAATTGTGAATGTGGTTTTATGTTCTCTAAATAATAGAGAATGTGGTGCCTTGGAGGTAAGCGATACATTACTTGGAATTCCATTGTATGAGACAGATACAAATACAACAATTAAATGGTTAGATATGAGTACCAATAGAAACAGAAAACTTAAATCCGAAGAAGAAATAGAGAAGTTAGATAAACAATCTACTGATTTATTTTATCCTTCATTGGTGGATACTCATTACCCAAATAGACCATCTGAAATGGAAAATATTAGTTTATTTGATTTTGTAAGTAAATATGATATTGTTAAAAAAAAACCATTAAACAAAGAACTCAAGTGTTATAAATACCCTGGTTTTAGATTTATAAAAGAACGAATACATTCTTATTTAATCAAACATCCCATGTATAATATAAAATTAGAACCAGAAAAGTACTTTCATTCGTTACTATAATGTTATTTAAACCTTGGAGAAATGAAACAGAATGACTTGGTAATAGCAATTACTTACTTTGAACAGTTTATGTTATATAAAAACCAAATAGAATCGGCTTTAGATTATCATAAGCGCTTGCAATATATTCGAAAGTCTAAGGATGATTTAAATACAATAATTGAAGAACTGAAAAATAAAGAATCATCAAATATGTTAGACGATTTCAATGATGAATTTCAATTAAATGAACTAGAAGAAGCTATAGAAGAGTTACAAAAAAACAGATACGTTAAAGAAGATGTTGAAACATTAGTGTCAAACTCAAATACGAATCAAAAACGAGTGTTTGAATTCATAAAATATGGACTAACGTGTGAAAATGGTTTACCAATACGACATTTTGTTTCAGGAGTAAGAGGTACAGGAAAATCTTTTTTAATTAAAACTATTAAAGCCTTTGTAGTAAAAGAACTTAACAAAAATGTAGCTGTTACAGCTCTAACAGGAATTTCTGCATACAATATACATGGAATGACTACCTATGCATCGGCTATTACAGTTACCAGTAGAACACGGACACACACCATCATACAGACCTCTATCTAACAATGCTTTTAAATTAATTCGCGAAACAATGAAAAATGTCATAATAGTTATAGTTGATGAGATAAGTATGGCATCTAACGTAATATTACTGTATATACACCCATCTAAGACTTAGTGAAATATTTGATACGAGTAATAATTGTGATGATGGCTGGTTCGGTAAAATTTATATTATAATGTTTGGTGATCTATTTCAATTACCTCCTGTAAATGAAGGATCCCCATTTCTTCCATTATCAATAAATCACTCCGATAAATATATCAATGCGTTAGGCACTATAAATTTGTGGAAAACATTATTTACATAATATGATGAATTAACTGAGAATATGAGGCAAAAAAGTGATCCAGAGTATGCTATTATATTAGATAGAATTCGAATTAACACAAAAACCCCATATGATATAAAAACAATAAATAAGCAGAAAATAAATTTAAATCTAAAGACATCATGGTCCGTTTATGACTCAAGCACATTACACATCAATTATTAAACATAATAATTAATGAGTTAGATGCAACGATATGTCTACAAGTATTGAACGCTGGCCTCGAGGTGGTAAAGATGTTTACATTATAGTTAAGGAAAAAAAATTAGTCAGGAGGCCAGCGATCCCTGCAGATTATTAACTCAAAACATTAAAAAATATATAAAAAAAAAAATACATAATTAACAAAAAAAAAAGTTGATATCTCACCAAAAACACTTCGTTATAACTCCGTGTAAAAAAATAGCTAAGATAAAAAAAAAAAAAAAAAATTAGGAATGATTAAATCTTTAAAATATGTACGTGATATAATATGAAAACTAAGTAAAATGTAATTTTATAATATTACAAATACCTAAGATCAATATTGTAATGTTAAAATATACTTAGTCAACATATTGTTTATACAGTATTAATTATGAAAAATACCATAGTGGTTACTTATTTGTATTTATTTAAGTATACTTATACGTCTGCTAAATAGTTAAACAATATGTTGACTAAGTATTTAACATTACAATATTGATCTTAGGTATATGTAATAGGTACAGTAGAAGCCGCTTATTAGAAACACGGATAATTGATACAATCGTGTTATTGAAACAAAATGTCTCGGGACGGATCGGACGTATATTAGAACATTGAAAATAAATCAGATTATTGAAACATCACATCGGTTATTTGAAACAATTGGGAAAAGGTCAGTTGACATATACACCGATTATCCGGCGATAACCAATGTACTTCAATCTTATCTTTGCTGTCGTTACGTTTATTTTTACTGTAATTAATTGTGAGAATGCTCTTTTTGTACTTACCGGTCGTACCATTTGTAGTTTAGCTTTAACGTGCGTATGTAAAGATTATTAGTGTTTCCTTTTTCTAAAAATCTAAAAATGTCTAAACGCTAATATTTTAGCCAATTTTCATGCGACCAATCATGGTTTAAAACTCATCAGACCGATTTGCTAGCCCAATACACACCCTCTGATATTTTTAATGCAGACAAGACTGGGATTTATTTTAAAGCTCTACCTGAACACACATACGCACTCAAAATAAGTGACAAAGCCAAAGGGGCAATATTACTCGTATGAAAATATGGTCATGGAGTTACTCGATGCAAAAAAACAAATTACGATTGATAAATATTTTAAATAATATCGTAAAATATACACATTTGTGCATACTTTTTTAAATTATACAATATAGGTACATTCATAAATGCATATTTTTTTCGCGTACCTACCTATTATTCATTTTTTTTTTTTCAATCGCTTATTGGAAACAATCGGTTAATTGACACAATTCACCTTGGTCCTAAAGTGTTTCTAATAAGCGGCTTTTACTGTATTATAAAATGGCATTTTACTTAGTTTCCATATTATATCACGTATTTTAAAGATTTAATCATTCCTAAATCCTAATCTTTTTTTTTAGCTTTTTTTTACACGGAGTTATAAGTTTATAACGAAGTGTTTTTGGTGAGATTTATATTACTGTATGCGGTCTGTATGAGTATTTTTTGTCAGTTTTATTGATTAAAATACTATTTATTATAATTTTAATCAGTATTAATATTAAACATTTTATTGGTATAGTATTTTTCTTTGATTAAAAAAGTATAGAAAAAAAATATTTAATTGATTATACTAATCAATTTCATTTTCAAGCCACAAACATGAAATTATCATTGTGAGAACTTACATAGACCATTTAATATTTATTTATCTTGTTCCATATATTTATACTGTGAAAATGATAAACATACAATTTCTAAACTCGTGAACATTTAACAGTTAAAAGGTTTGACCGCAAAATGGCCTATTTTTAGATAAGATTTAAATCTTATTTTCTATATATAACCAGAGAATTAAAATGACAATTTATTTAAAATATCTTCAGTAACACTTAGCAAATTCAACTGGAATAAAAATCAATATGGATTTTTTTTCATTAGCTTTGATGCCAAATAACGAGAATGCGTGCATGCAATTGTATCACCATGAAGATGTTTTATGTTCCAAATGTGGTTTCAAAATAACTTTATTTGTGAAAAAGACTTTACGCCTTACCATGGCTGTTCTAGATATTGATTATGGAGCATTTATTAGACGACCAATGGACTGGGGATCTGAACGTGAGACACCTCCAATTGTGTTAAACAACAGATATAAATTTACTTTAAAAATGAATATAATAAAATTACCTACAGAAAAACAAGAGGTATCATCTACAGAAAAACAAGAGGTATCATCTACAGAAAAACAAAAGGTATCACTTACAGAAAAACAAAAGGTATCACCTACAGAAAAACAAGAGGTATCATGTACAGAAAAACAAGAGGTAATAATATGTCATTTATATGAAGGTAATAAATACCAAAAAAATATAGATGTGCAATTAGATTCTGGATTAACTGTTGAGTTTTCTTGTCAACAAACATGTAGCATACATCTTATTGGCTATTACTTGAATTGAAAATCATGTTGTATAAATTGTTTAATTATTATATTATTAATAATATACAGCAATGGAAGCTGTTTGATGTATACTTTTAATAAAATTATTAAAAAACATAAACTAATAATTTCTTTTTTTTTCATTAATCTTATTTAAGTTCAGCAACTACGGCTATTAGTCGTGGATAGGAACAGTAAGTTTTTTGTGTAAGGTTTATTTGGAAAGTTTGGTTAGCACGGTTGGAACACGTGTGTATACCATAGATTTGTCACTAAGAACTTGGGTAGTCACCCATCTAAGAGCTAGCGACACTGGCTGATGTTTGACCTCAGAATACATTAGTGACTGAGGTCAACCACCATGCCACACCGGGCCACAATAAAATAATAATCGTTTATCATATTATAATAACTAAATTTTGATATACCAATTTGTGCTTTCAGTTCTTTTCAGTCTAATAATATACTAATATTGTATAAAACTGATTTGATATTCTGTCTAACTTATATCATATTCTTTTTTTTTTTTTTTTAATTGTCAGTAATATATTTATATACATTAACATTATTTTACATCAATCAACATTTTAATATTAGTTTGAATAAATGTATTTATTTTTTTTGTATTAAATGTATTATATAGTAGAGTATAACAAAAGCTAATAGTAAAAACAATCAGTAAAAGACCAATTGAACTAAAATTTGATGGAGTATACCACATCTAACATGCAACTAAGACTAAATGTCAAAGGATAAAAAGAGTGGAATGGTAAAACAGTGTATGCTAGGGAAAGACGAAAGGCAGTGCTGGTAGTGATTTATTACTAAGACTCTTGGAGAGTCGTAAGGCTAACAAAGAAGAGAGTAATATAAATAAATGTTTAAACCTCTATATTATAAAAATAAAATAGTTATTAAGTGTATAATGTTGTTTTTACAATTAATTAAGGTAAACAGAAATCAAGTTATACATAAAATACGAATTAAAATATACCATTAAGTGATTCTTCCATGAACTTTGAATAAAGTAACATAAATTTGGCAACAAATGCTTCTAAATGAAACATGGTTTTATTTCCTTTCAATAAACTATGTTCATAAAATGATGCGATTTCAACAATATCATGTTTCAACGAAATATCACAGTTTTTCACCAACTCTTTAAGTAAAAACTGAAAAGTAAAATATTAGTATAATAACTATTTAAAATAATAGTATAATCTGATTTTATTTACTTTAAAAATCACATTTGTTGGAATGCCATGAACAATCAGTTCATAAAGCATCGATCGAACTTCAAGCAATTTTCCAGGTGTTTGTTGGCTCAATATTTGTTTTGCGGTATCACCAATATAAAGTTGCCAATCTGGTACAACAACACTTTGTTTTACATCAAAAGGATATCTATTATTTAAAAATAAATTAAATAAATTATAAACGCACACTACTAAATATTTAAAAATTAAATAATATATATGTAAATACTAACTGTTTTACTTTACTAGCTTCTAACATTAATATTGCTCGCCTTAAGTTCCGTTCACAATTTTGAGAGATAATTAAAGCTAACTCATCTGGTAATGTTAATCCTTCTTTTTTGCAAATCATCTATAAATATTGTAAAATAATAACAATGATTTGTAACACATTTAAGAAACAAATAAATAAAATGTATATGTTAATTTTATTAAAGACAAAAAATTAATAGTTCATATTATCAATTATTTGAATAATGAAAGACACGAATAAGATTTATTAATAACAATATTATAGTAAAATATATTTAAGTAGCTAAGAATACTGAAATATATAGTCATTTCAATACGATATTGGTCTATAACTAGTAGAATGTAAAATTGTTAACAGAAAAAACCAGGCTAGCCCATTGCATTTTTATAATCAGGTAGACAAGTTACCACTTTGCGTTCTTATCCCACTCTACCATAAAAAATGTCAATGTTTTTACAATTCATTATATTCATTAAATATATTAAAGAACTTAAGTATATTTTTTACTTATTTTAGTAATTGAGTATTGTTTTTTTTACTTTTAAAATTTTACAAATATCTTCATAAGTGGGAGCTGGGACACGCACTGCTAAACATCTACTACGTATGGCTGGAATCACTTGACCAATGGAATTGGCACACAAAATAATACGACAAGTAGCCATATATTTTTCCATTGTTCGTCGTAAAGCTTGTTGAGCTTCTTTAGTAAGCCTGTCCACTTCAGTTAATAAGATAACTATAACATAAATATAAAAAGTAAAAAAAACCAAAAAATGAAAATGTCTATCTGGAGTTAATGGTTTTACCTTTAAAATGCCGTTGCTTAGTTGAATCTAATTGATGGGTTTGTGCAACAGTTTTAATGAGTTCCATAATAACAATGCGGTCATACATACCAGCATCACTAGCATTTACTTCTATGTGATAATTGCTAGCCACAGTCATTATTTCAAATTTCTTATTTGAAGGAGTCTATAGAAAAAAAATTAAGTAATTAATCAATTAATGGATGACAAATTTATATTGGTTTTATACCATGAAATTCATATGTTCAGTACGTAATCTTTCAACACCAGGACCATATAGTTGTCGTAATAATGCTAATATGCGAGTCTTTTTTCCAGCACCATTAGGTCCATAAAACAGTAGATGTGGAAAATCACCTTGATTTACCTACAAAATAATTTTACAAAAGTGTTGCAAACTATTTATATACAATACAAATTAATAAATCTACTACATAATAAGTATACTAACTAGGTTTGTTAAATGTTGAGCTTGATCCAGGTGGTAATCAACTTTTTGTAAAGAATTAGGTCGGTATTTATCAGCCCACAGACTCATTTTAATTTTAAATCAAGAAATTTAAAAATTTAATAAATAAGAGGAACAACTACAGTTTAAAGAAATTCGAAAGAAAAAACGTTGACACTACTAAGCAGTAAACTACAACACTAAAATCACAGATACATCAGAAACGATGATCGACGAACGAAATAACGTGTTTAGTGTACTAGTGCAAAATATTAAAAATATTATCAAGTACTAAGTATTAAGTAGTTATTAACACCAAGTACCTACTGACTACTGAATACTGATCTTAAAATGTAAGCTATTTACTATTTAGCTATAGTACCACAGGGCACAAATTTATTGTTATTACTTATTTGTTTTATTTAATTTGTTATAGAACTTTACGAGTACCATAAGTTATCAATTATTATCAATTGTTGCTGTACACATTTGGCGGGAACGGAACAGTATATAATATAATTTGATAAATTGGGGAAAAATAATTGTTAAAAAGACATTTTAAGTTTTCAAAAGTGGACAACTTGTTTACTGTATTAGTCGAATTATTATAGGTTATGACGTTATGTATTTTATGCCTTTATGGTAAAAACACTAAAAACTAAAAATTTCTTTATAGAATAGTTATGAGCTATGGCTCTAATCTGAAGTCGAATTTAAGTTTTGTTTCGTGTATCGTTTTATGCGAAATTAATTCGTAAGTATATTGTTTATTTTGTTTTGATGTTTTATTGTAAACCTTAATCGTATATTAATGATCGTGTTAAATTTTTTTCGTTGTCTCGGGTATTAATTTATTTCCAGGTTAAAACACTTGGTTATGAATTATGATAATTTAAATCATAAATAATAATGCTAATTTTTATTATGCATTTTAATTTATCAAACTTTAATTTTAGAAATTAAAAACTCAAACTTGACGTCTCAGGTAGTTAGGTTATTTAATTTATGTTATACATTTTATTTGCTATGTATAATCAATAATTGATCACAATATTATCTTATTGTTCTTTTTATATTTGTTTAATATTAATTAACTTTATTTGAAGTAATCACAATAACTATTTAAATTTAAATTGTTTTAAAACTTTGATAATATCAAGTACTAGGGATTTAAATGGATATTTGTGTACTTAGTGTATTTTAAATATTTTTTGTAGGTCAAGATGCAAATTTTTGTTAAAACCCTTACGGGTAAAACAATAACCCTTGAGGTTGAATCGTCAGATTCTATTGAAAATGTAAAATCAAAAATCCAAGATAAAGAAGGTAAGATTTAATATTAATTTTTAAATCCTCAAATTTTTAATTATGTATTAACCATTTGATTAATACTGTATATAATATAGCACCAAAATATGTTGACATTCTGCTGTCATCAATATGTTTTATTATTTATAGCATATACAATGGAAATTTTCGAAATAAACAATATTTTAAATAAAATGTGACCTGCTTTTTTTAAAAAATTTACTTTTAAGCTAGTAATACATTAAATATTCATAACTAATTTACTATTTATTTAACATTCAATTTTAATACATTAAAATTAAATTAAAATTGTGTGATTTAAATTAATTTATTTAAAATGTCTGTTATGATAAGATTATCTTCTAGAATAAATATTTATAATATATTTTATTATTTTTATCATTATTTGATCTACTGGAAAAATTACCAATATACCACTGGAGTGTATTTGTACAAAGTTTATATTAGGTATTACTGTTTATTATTATCTTGTTTTTAAAACTATTTTTGAAAAAAACGTTATTTAAATGAATATTTAAAATCTGTACTAGGGGGTACAATAAGTAAAGGGTTTAGCATAATAATGAAGGACAGTGAATGACATGAAGGAGCTTCACATTAGAGGCACTTGAGCTTAAATAATTTCCTTAAAAGGTATGCATTAGGTATTGAGTAGGTCTCGAGGTCAATTTTGTTTGAGGCGTTTTCTGGAAGATGGTTGGAATGAAGTTGAGCGATGAGCAGTTGGGGTGGTCGGCCATTTTAGAGTATAGAATTTGACAGCTATTTGTTTGATAGTAGCAATTTTTAGCTCATTGTGAAGGGTGACATTTGTAACGTACCAGGGATCATTCATAGTCATTCGTAGACAAATGGTTTGGAAAGCTTGAATGGTTCTAGTGTTAGCTAGTTTGACTGAACCCCAGAGGGCGATTCCGTAGGACCAAATAGAAAGGAGTAAACTCTTATATACTTAATAGAAGATGGGTAGAGGTACGCATTTTTGATTTCAGGAATGGTCTTAAAATATTTAGACAGCTATTCAGTTGTTTACGTTTATTTTTGAGGTGAGGGCCTCAGATGAGTCTTTTGTTGAAGACTAGACCGAGGTGTTTTACTTCACTAGTCTGAGGTATGATTTCATTGTTAAATGTTAAGGAGGATGGTACTCCCGGGCAAAGTGGAAATGTGACATGAGCAGATTTGGAGTTGTTGTCTTTGATTTTCCAAGATTTGAACTAGTTGAAAAGGATGTCCGAGTGGTTTTACAATTGGAGATTTGCTTCAATGAGGTCGTAGCTGGAAAAAAGTATGACTGTGTTCTTAGCATAGGTCCTGATAAGGGTATTGTCTAAGGTTGGGATGTCTGCTGTAAATAAAGTAAAGAGGAAAGAAGCGATGTCACTATCTTGTTTTTAAAACTTATAATTCATAATTTAGGAATTCCCCCGGATCAACAACGTCTTATTTTTGCTGGTAAACAATTGGAAGATGGTCGCACACTATCTGATTACAATATACAGAAAGAGTCAACACTACATTTAGTACTCCGTTTAAGAGGTGGCGCTAAAAAACGCAAGAAGAAAAATTATTCCACCCCAAAAAAAATCAAACACAAAAAGAAGAAGATTAAGTTAGGGATTCTTAAATTTTATAAGGTAAGAATAATAATTATTGTGTTCTAAATTTGGAATGTAACTTATATAATTATTATTTATAGGTTGATGAAAATGGAAAAGTACATAGGTTGAGGAAAGAATGTACTGCTGAAAACTGTGGGCCTGGAGTATTCATGGCTGAGATGTCCAACAGATTCTACTGTGGAAAGTGCAGTTCTACCATACCTAAATAAATTGTTTTAATTTTAAGTACAATACAGTTTATTTTAAAAAAGTCTTGCATTTTTCATCAATAGTATTTTAACAAAAAACTTTTTTCGAGTGGATGCCTTGCCATCATATTTTAATTAAATCATTAAATGCTAGGTTTTCCAATTTATATAATGGATACAGTCTTATTGCATAAAAATATTAAGTAACATTTTTTTAAATTAAGTAGATAATAACTACAGTATTTTAGTAACAACACTAGCATACACACTATAGGTAAATTAAATCATAACATACATTATGTATAAATAATATTTAATATATATAAACAAAAATATTTGGTTTCTGCTGTTTCTTCAACTAAATCTCTTCATTAAAAAAAAAAAAAATGAAGGCCATAAACATACATAGTAACATATTTACTTAGTTTGACTAGATTACTAGTGTGCAATTTTTAAAAATATAAAATTCTTAAATACTTAATATATCATATTGAAAAGTTCTTAAAAATTATGTGTAGTTATCATTTCAGATATTTTAAGTACTTCTTTAAACATTCACATCAATTTTCATTTTACTATGTTCGTTCTTGCTGAATCATAATGTACTATTTTGAACATTTAAATGTTAATATAAGTTGATTGTACCACTTGATTGTCTGGTAAACTAATTAAGTTATGATAATACTTTGATTAAAACATTTTTTATCCACGTGTAAAATGTTTAGCTGGTTCAATAGTCATTAGTGATTTAATATTATTTATTAAATCTGAGAAATTTGGACGTTTGCCCGCTACATATTCCCAACAAGGCCGCATAAGTTTGTTATATATCTCAATGGTGCATGGTGGACATGATGGGCATTGTAATCTGTGACCTTCTTCCAAAACCCTTATTAGTTTTTCAACATCTAACCTTTCTTCTAATTTGGAGACTACATTTGGTTCTTTACCCAAGGAAAAAATTTCAAAAAGTAATACACCATATGCCCAAATATCAGTTTTAGGAGAAAATTTTCCATACAATATAGCCTCTGGAGCATGCCTAGAAGTAAAAAATTAAAGATTTAATATCAATATTTTAATGATATTGTTACAAAACTCACCATTTTAAAGGCAAATCTCGCATTGTTTGTAAGTAATAATATTTTTCATCGGGTAAAAATTGAGCTAGACCAAAATCAGAAATTTTTACAGTTGTTGGGCTTGATACCAAAATATTCCTTGTAGCTAAATCTCGATGTATTATATTTAAACTTCCTAAGTATTCCATTCCCTAAAATAAATTATACTTAAAATACATTTTTATTCTAATGTTATTACTTATTACTGATATTTTTAAAGTATTTTTTATGAATATACTTAACAATGCTTAGTACATTAAAATATGTAATATAGTATAGCAAAAATTGGAATATTAGTATTTAATTTAAAATTACTTGAGCAATATCCAAAGAGTATTTCAATAATCTATTAGTTTCCTCCATAAGTTCATCTTCATGTAATCGCAAGTAACTACTTAATGAACCAAGTTCAATATATTCCATTACAAGCATTAAATTTGGTTCTTCTAATACACCCTCAATTTTAACAATATTTGGATGACTGAGTCCCTAAATTAAAATTCAAACAACATAAATACAACATATTTATCAAGTGATTTAAGTATTATTTACCTCTATAATTCCAATTTCTCTTTGAAAATCTTCAGTTTGGAATGATCTTTTCATATGTTTCACTGCTACTTTTTTGGTTTTATTGTCACTATATTCTAACAATCCTTCTAATACAACTCCATAAAATCCCTAATAAACATTAATAATTATTAGGATTTTTGCTATCGTACGGTGATGGAAAAAAAACAGTTATATGAACACATTAATTTTTTAAGTACTACACATAAATGAATTCAATTTTTAAAAAATAAATTTGTATGATTTAAATTCTTATTTTTTATAACCACGAATGTTTTTGATTTATTCATTGAAAAGTTGGCCTTTATACACTAAATGTTAATTTTATAACTGATCTTTTATATTTACGTCATAGTAGATGATTTCGTACAAGTATACTGTACATGACTGAGATGTTTTCATAACAATGGCAGACTGAACTTCGATTTTAAATTACACAACTTTATATTTAATTATTTACCACCACCACCCTACAATATATTCTAATGTACATTATTTAACTTACACAAAAGTTATCATCTAAATAAAATGTGGCTGAAAAAGGTCAAGCTATAGGAAGTCTTTAGCTAGACTTCACCGCCCATTTTAAAAGTTCACGTA